ACTTCATACATGAGTTTTTTTTTGCCATCGTAGAATGGATTAATAGTGTCTGATTATGAGAGGAAATTACTTGATGGAACCCTAGTGTAAAACAACTAGCTTGATGGGATCCATCAAGTATCGTGTTACCTTATGATACCTCACCGACGCCACACCGTCACGAAGTTCTAATAAAATTCCTATAATAACTTTAAGATCAAAGTGAGGACGAACACGAGTCCCACCACTAACCTTGTACGAATGAGCAAAAGAAAGAGCATACAAGAGCACAGAGGTTCGAATTATGTCTTTTAATGTTAGAGGAATTTGGTTTGCAGCCACGGGTACTTGAAAACTATGAGCTGCTCTATGCACTTAATTCTGATACTCCTTGATAAACTTGTTGTTTGTTCATGCATACCAGTGGCAATTGTATGTGGAAAACCTGACAATCAACACGACAGAAGTTATTTGTTTAATGAGTAGTTGGACTTTGAGAGAACTCATTCTTGTAGCGAACATCTTCCTGCAATTTGCAAATTTGAAGAAGCACATCAAATTGAAATCCATTCCTATCGAATTGAAATATAGTCCGACATGAGTGCTGGGATCTCAAGGTCCTTTGAGCAGTTGGTCTCACAAATAGCAGAATAGATTCAACCAAGTTCCAAGTTCCAGGCGAGCATTTCCCTACACTAAAACACGTAGAATGTATTTACAAGAGCTTCTTTTAGAACTTGATGACGGTGTTCAGTCCCATATGGTAAAACGAATCGTCAAGGATTCCATCAAATAAATTCCTCCTGATTATGATGATAGATAGGAAATCTGATCAATTACACACATGTATTTATCTAATATGCGTGAAATTTGATAATACATATGAAAAGTAGTTTTCATATAATATGATGCAATGAAACATGCCACACTCAAATAACTCCTGAAGAGATTATGTTCCCTTCTCACTATTTTAGACATCTGTCAATGAGAAGATTTGATGCATTTGCAAACGCAATACTAAAATAATGATGATGTGTGACCTTCACATAATGCAAGGGGGAAAATAATATGAAATATTATGCCAAAAATGACAAAATCAATATAATCTGTATTTTTAAAAATTATTTTAATTCTGACAAACCCAAAATTTTCCAAATTTCATTATCTACTCATTATGATTTTTGTGTTTTTTTAAACAAATAAATTCTCAAAGATCCATTCCTAGACATATTTGGTAATGTCAATTATTTTTTTCCTGATCTGAAATTTCAATAATCTATTAGATTTCTAATTCTGATTTATCAAGGACAATGACAATTTTTAAGAGCTGTCAGTATTTTCTTTCAGCTATTAACAAATAGAAGGGAAAAATGTAAGTATTAGACTAAATTGTACCCTAACGTACTTATTTTGTATATCTTGATTTAAAAATTTTGCACTATCTAATATAATATCACAGATGGAACATATATACACCTATATCATGATTTGATCTACTAGACGAACCTAATATTTAGAAAATCACACAAACCTCATTTCACACATTACATCCAACCTTGCAAGTTGCAAATACTTAGCTCAGAAAAGTGACAACTGAGGGAACGAGGTAGGCATGGTCATGTAACCTTCTAGCTGGGGTCTCAAATTTAGCAGGCTGGCCCCTTGGGTAATCGGCTACAGGCCGCAATAAGGAGTTCAGGGGGATAATTTCGCCTGAATCGGCCGAAAATACGGACGAAATCACAGACTCGGTCCGAGTTTTCGGATCGTTTTCGGCCTTGGATAGCGTTCCGGTGACCCGGTACGTCGACGACTAGCCGGTTAACGAGACGTGAGCAACCCTAGAACGAGGTTTGCGTTGAAGCATGCTGAACCCTATCTCCGATTTCGATCCAAGCGCTGGGGTTTACCTTTCCACATGTCCACGTGGCAATCATCCAACACGTATCGTGGCAAGCTTGGCCAAGCATGAAATTGTCGCTTCCGACTCCGGAATCAGGGCATCGTCGCAGTCACGTCATCTCCGGGAGAGGTCAGTTCGAGCAACGGGAAGATTGGTCTCCGTCGATTTCAATGTCCGATAGCTTCGCTCTCTAGGTCACGAGCAGTTCTGTTGCTCACCTTGCAGCCGATTTCAACGTGACATTCGCAGGTATCCTAAATATGGAATCGGCGAATGACTCCGGAAATTCGATCACTCCGGAAAGCGACTGTTACGCAAAGTTGATGATGGAAATCAAAGACGAAGCTAAAAAGTACAAGGGCGAGTTTAAGCTGGCCCTTCCTTCCGACCAGGACGTTGTTGACATCTCCAAAAGTTGTGGTGGTCTTTTGTCGCCAGAAGCATCTTCCTCTGCCTCGTTGGAGAATTCGGGAATCATCATCCATGCATGGTGCATGTCACATGCACACATGCAGCATGTGTAAGGTGCGATATGCAGACTTGAACCTGACCCTAGAGCTGCAGTGTCATATTTGCCGCAAACGCACGTCAGCTATTCAATAAATAAATTCATCCTGAAGACGACTAAGCTCTAACTTTATCTACAACTCATTGCAGGAACCTGGAGTTCAAAAAAGTGTATGCCGCGAACTTTTTGATAGACAGATCAGTGAAGTTGCGCGAGATCGTCCGAAGGTTCTATCGATTGAAGGAGATTAAATACAGCGTTAGCAAAGCACTCCTGTTATGTCGAGGCCAAGTGCTCGATCCCTATCGCGCAGCTGACAACGTATTTTACTTCCTTCATCCCAAAATATTAAGCACAGTTGCCTATTTTACGTGTTTGCTACAAGTCTCATTCCTATCAAACTTCCCGGTCGAAATCCAGCCACAAAATGACAACATGCTTTGTATGGGTAACTGTCTTCTTGCAGTATGATCTCCCGAACCATGCGATCATATTCGTCGAAGATTAGAGATATCTGGGCTAAACGTCAGCTCTGCAACGCTAGCGTTTATCATCTTTTGGGCGGATTAGGGAACACGCAAATTTTCTATTATACCCACGTACGAATCACATACGTCCAACCTATGAGTCAAATTAGCTAGAAGAAAGCTTATGATTTTGTTGCTACGTGTGAAAATCTTGATGACTGCGTAATTAGGCTTATCAGTCTTCCGGCTTCATTTCAGTAAAATCATGTGACCGTAATCTGTTTCTTGTACAGTAGTAAAACTTTCTTCTCTTATCCTATGTTGGCATGATAAAACTTGATGCAAAATAATATTTGAAAAATTCCAATATTTAGGTCTGCTTAGTTATACAACGTGTGATGCATGTGGTGATACTCCTATAAAAATGATTGGAACGGTGTAATATGCAGCATGTGTTGTAGATAATACAATCGGTTACCTCCCCGGTTTTCTCTGACTTCCATTTTATTTTTTCCTTCACATGCTTGATTGCACATGTTCAGTCCTGTAGCATCTAGTCAAACACTCTTATGTGCCAGATCATCAACTTATAAGAGAAAAATTAATAAAGCTGATGAAATTTGAGTATTCACATTTCTTAAGCATGTTGGATGTGGTTCAAGTTTTTTTTTATGTTCTATTTAAGGAAGAAATGAAGAATTTTGAAGAAATGATCTAAAATGCGTAGAAATTTTGAACTTTGAAAATCATAAAAATTGAGTTTTCCAATATACCTTTTCATATTATGAGTTAATCAAAGATAAATAGAAAATTCATTTTTAAATTGTGACTTTTCGCTACGAATTGTTTTTCACATCACATATAAATTATTATATGTTTGGGAATTGTACAAAGATTTTTTCACTGTTTAGTTTATAAAAAATCATCCGTAAATTAAATCATTAGAACGAAGATAAGTTTCAGATAGTTACAATTACTTAAGTTGGATCGATCAGTAGATTCCAGATATGAAATTGATTAAAAGTAGATTAAGAATATAATCAAAATTTTTACAGTCAATATTTAGAAAGTATCAAAGTCACATTGATGATATACGTACCGTACATCAGTTTAGTGTACTGATGCAGTGCTCCAATATACTGCAATCAATAAATCTAAATATACTTGTTAGTGTAACATCACTTCCAATAGACAGCAAGATTTCAAAATTACTGTAAGTATAAGATGATCACTTACAATACTTATACTTATATATCATAACCGTAAACTTCGACAGAGAAATCACGTAAAGGACTCTCTATACGTTCATTACGGTTACGGAGATCAATGTTACAACATTTTTTTGTTCAAAATATTCAAAAGATCTGATGTTTAGAAACATTAAATATCTGAAGTTATTTTCTGTCATCCATACGAGTGACACATTAGCACTTCTTTCTATGAGGCCAGATATGGGTTCGAACTGGATAGCATGTTATCTCAACAAGAAAATGTTTAATTTTCATGATATTTATGGCAAGTAAATGAATTGAGCGAATTTGGCATCATAAAGTATTCTAATAATGTGCAAGGAAAGTCCATCCACTAGTAATTAGTCTAAACCAGAAGGTTTTGGTGGAGATGCTGCAATTTTCGCAGGCGGGGATTCAGTGAAAATTCGGACGAAAGTTGCGCATAGTGAAGGAGATTAGGATCTTCATTGGTATTTAGCAGAAAACGTGAACCCAAACTTCTACAGAAGAAGTAAGAAAATGGCCACCCACTCATATCGCTGTTGTGGAAAAAGTGCTCGGATTGCCACTTACATTTTACAAACCAGTAAGAAGTGTCGAACGTTCTCTCCCAAAAATATTTCCAAAACATTTCGAGGGTTGTACCCATTTTAATTTCAGGCATATTCATAGATGTAATTAATGTGTGGGCTGCCTCAGATAACACTACGATTCACGAACCTTTTAAACACCGGTTGGAATCTATGGTTGGAAAAGTTCTGTTCAGTATGTTTTGATGATCTTTGCTCAAAAGGTAAGCATGCAGCGTATGGATCTGATAGCTAGTCCGGCATTATATATCAATTGTTCTAGTATAAAGATCACGATTCAATTCTATCCAACCTAGAATTCCATTCCCGTAGGTGAATTCTCAGGCGTATAACCTCCAGATTCGATCATATAGAAATAAAATATCATATAGCATGGTCCTAATTTCAGGGCACTGCAATCGTAGTTCATGAAAGTTTCTCAAGCGAAGATTCTAAGTACTCACTATCAAAGCGAAAATAGTATGTACTCACAATCAAAGTTAACTGTTGATGCTACATGTGCCAGTACTGATTGAAAGTAACGTCGGAAGCTGCACTCTAGACAATTACTGTAAGTGCAACTTGAGAACTAAGGTTCGCCAGTTCATTCGAGACGAGAGTGAAAAAAATCGTAACTACAATGACAGAACAGAACCCCACAATAGAGATTTTTTTTTTCAAAAGTCCTATCGTCGTGTCCCGGAAAACCTCTACGTCTTCCTCTGACAATTCCAATGAATAAGCAGAAACCGGAGAAGGCAGCAAACATCGTCTGGGTGACGACTGCAGATGAATGGAAAGAACCGCGAAGTGTATGGCAGCCTGGTGCAGACAGCGGAGCGGGATCCTGCAACTCAGTTGTGAGTGGGGATGGATTGTACGATGTCATCCATCGCCTTCCCTCTTGCTCCGCCTTCTGCAACAGCGGCATCTGCTCTCTTCTTCAGCTCCCGGACTCTGGCCCTCATGTCGTTTCCCTGTTCTGATAGAAGAAACCTCACCGCGTCCTCTAATTCCTCACGTCCGACGAGGTTTCTGACTACGGACTGGATTTCTGCGTCATAAAGGAAATTGAATTTGCCACTCCCGCCGACTTCCACTGCAATTTTCAGCTCATCCACAAGGTGCCTGCAGACTGTACCCTGGTCGTTCGGCAGCTGAGGCCAAGCTATCATCGGCACGCCCGTCGTTACGCCCTCTATCGCAGAATTCCAGCCACAATGTGTAACGAAGCCTCCAGTAGAAGGATGCGACAGAACGTGGAGCTGCGGTACCCATCCGTCGAGAATCAGGCCTCTGTCTCTCGTGCGTGATCGAAAGTTGGGAGGGAGAATTTCGTCCAAGTCAGAGAAAGGCTTACCGCTAAAGCCTCGGGAAAGAACCCAGAGAAAATCATGCCCACTAGCCTCCAGAGCGATAGCGAGTTCGTGGATCTGTTCAATTGTGAAGCGTACTAGACTGCCAAAGCATATGTACAACACCGAGTCAGGCTGTCGACTATCCAGCCACTGCAAACAATCATGGCCCGGACGACTCGAGTCTGATACAAACGACTGATCCTTGAAGTTGGCGGCATTCGACAGAGGCCCGACCAGGAATAGTTGCCTAGTCTTACCTTGAGGATCTCCCTCCCACCTCTGCCTTATCGCGTCCACCTGCGGGGCATCCATCTCGTAGAAAGTGTTTACAATCAGACCGTCCACTTCGTCAATTCTGTCTGCCACGTCCAGAAACATTTGCAGACCCAACTTGATTGGGTTCAGAATCTCTTTCCATCGTAGAGGTGGAAGACCTGCTATGTTCAAATGGCCCTCATATTCTGCTATGGATACCTTGCCAGTCCTAAAATCTTCGTGCAGCTTCAATGTACCGTCGGCCAACAGCTTCGGATACTCCTGTAGGATTCGAACGAAGTGTGCCCCGCAGCTATAGAACTGATAGTGAGGAATGTTCAACTCGTTCGCTACGTCCTGTGCAAATGCCAACAACCTGTCGGAGATGAGGCACGTAGGCCCTGGAAGTCCTGCCCTCTGATCAGCTACCAGCTTTTCTAAAACTGGATCGAAGACCTTTTGTGCAACAGCAATGAACTCGAAAGGATTGTTAAACTTCTCATGGAGTTGTTCAGAGCCGCCAGAGGGCGCGAAGTCCTCGTAGGAGATGAGGTGGAAGTCCAGCTCTCGCAGCTCTTCGTTCTCCTTCAGGACTGCAACTTCCCTTGCCCCAGCCACGAAGCTGATGGCCACACCTCTTGTCGCCAGATCTGTGCAAAGCCTGAGAATTCCCGCGATGTGAGCCTGCATTGTAATGGGAAGAACCAATGCATGTTTCTTACCCCTGCAGCCATTCTCCATCTTGGCCATAGACTACGCCCCCGAAGATGCGAGGGGTGCCCCCAGCAGAGCCGATCGACCTCTGGCTATGTCTTTCTCGATTCAATCGAGTACGACCTCGCGAGAAAGGCGACGCAATCCGACCAAGACTGCGAGCTGAAACTCAGAATTGGCAAACACAAATTTCCAAATCTCTAACAATGAGGAAAACCGAGAAGTGGGAACTACTTAAGCTCAGGAGATTATAAGTCACCGCCGAGCTGTATTTGTAGGCCATAATTTATAAAGTGCAACCGAACAATATCAACCTTTCGGCCTTGCAGTTCTGGCATGGCTCAGCATTGAGGTACGCACCTGAGCTCTGAGCTACGCCAACCTTCCAAAACTTCCATCGATCTTTTCTCTGACAGATAGACGTACCACATGATACGTACAAAATTCCCTCTACGCCTTGTTCGAAAGACTCTGAGGCGTAAGTCCAAGGTGGATGTGGGATGAACGACATGTACTGCCCATGCAAAGCGTGTCTGCTGTGCCTCGCGTCCCGGGCCCAAGCGTTCTAATTATTGTACGTTGTTGCAAGCAGAAGGAATATGCATAATCTCATGCGCCACAATATCCAACGGCTGATGTAACTCCGATTCCGTCAAACAAAGTCCGAAACTGAGACCGATGCCCGAGGTCTTGTGCTGATGGTCTGAACTCTGCAGGACCAAGCAAGTTCTGATGAAAGCACCATCCCCCGTACACGACCCATCCTGTCCCCATAGAGTTTCGCTCAGTCCCAGCTCAGCTTTCAGCTCTCTCATTCAGCTTCTCTCATCTCAGGTTTTTTTTAAGGGATGCCCCTTTCTCCTGCGTTGAGCTTGGATTGGTATAATTGTTTACATTTTAATATACTACTCGCTTTCCGTCTTGTTGCTCGAGCGCCACGTGCTCATCCGGTTTATTATCACAATGGAGGAAAGAAAGAGAAAGGTCAGTATTACCTTCTAGAACCGAGACATCTCTCAGCACAGAACACTCACGCGCGACAGGCTGGAATTCAAAACTTCAGAACTTCAGAACAGCAGCTGGTGGCAGTAAGAAGGTGAGAAGGTGAGCATTCACAAGGCAGAGTCTTGGAGCAGTTTGGACTCTGTATTATGAAAAGCTGACATCATGGTTCGATTGTGTACAGGGGATCTGCCTGTCTTCTCTGCCTCTGCATTTTCCCGCGTCTACTGTGTGCTGTGAGTCAAACAAGCCATTGGGCAAAAGCTGAACATGGTGGTGTTTGGAAGAGTCAGACCAGTAGCATGAACAGTATTTTGGAGGTTGGAACAGCTCCAAATCTGTAACCTCCGTGAATGCTGCTCTTCTCTTCTACTGGGTCAGAAGGAGCACAGTTTGTGTGCATCGGGTTTGAGATTGTGAACCGTCATTCGGCCGAGGTTTAGACAACGTGATCTGGTCACCCAGTGCACACCTCTTGTTGACCTTAATCTGCCCTTGTACCGTCGAGAGAAATCAAATCCAGAAGCATTACTGGGGAACTAAAGCCCCATAGAAACTGGTTTTGGCACTGTCTCTGCTTGCGTTTTGATTATGGCTGACGGGTTTTGATGCTCTGAGCTTGCCAGCGGATGTCCAGCTCCACTTGACGAGGTGCCACATATTTCTTAACAAGGATTTCCAAGAGCATCATCTCTTAAAGAGATTAACGTGAGCATTGAGCATGCTGTTGTCCATGTACCTTCAGCAGTTTATATGGTGTACATTGTATTGTACAGGGACTAAACTTTGGATGTAATCTCAACTTATCCTTAGTCTTCGTCGTTAGGTACTGGGACTGCTCTTGCAACTCGTACCACATGGCGTAGAAATCTTCCATCTCGCCCCATCCTTTGAAGTAGCATGTAATCATCTAGCAGAAGCTAAAAATCGATCTCACGTATACGATTTTGGAAGATGGTGCACCATTAAGAATCAGGAGACTGAATCTGCTTTCTAGAATCGTAGTAACTTTGTAACAGTCTTTCTCTAAGGTATTTTAACCGGTGTAGACTGACAGGTCTACATTCGTTTGTATACCATTAGTATATCACAGTAGAAACATACAGACGTATGTACATATGTGAAGTTTCAATTTATCGCAGTCATTGACAGATGAAAAGAAAAGCTTACTTGGTTTTTAGGGATTTTTCTTAACAGCAGTTGTAATAACCCACCAAAGGCTAAAACTGCAATATAGTGGTAGAAAGGTCGAACCCATAGGGACAGAGGCAACACAGAGAGTACAAAGTGTCACATTTAACAAACTATTGAAGAGTTTGAATTCTCAGGCGACTGTCACTCCCAGAAATACTGCAAGTGCTCACTCGGATATCACTCGGAGGTCGCACAGTGCAGCGTAGTTCACTCAACAGACACACACACACACACACACACCTGGATCTATAGAAACACAACTAAGAGGTCGGTTAGGACCTCTACTTAAGATTTCAGGGGGGAAGTCTCTCGCGAATACACTCAGCGGATCTGCGGGTAGTGACTCCCAACTCCGGCTTTTACAACCCTTCCACTAGTTTTTGCTAGCACAGAGAACCCGGAGTGGACTTCCTACTTCGGATCGAAGTCACTCACACGCGGTGAACAACACACTCAACTCACAAAACGCGCCAAGAACATAGGTCCGAACTGAGAGACTCAACTGAGAAACGATCCAGTAGCACACCCTAACAGTCTATTGAAGAGTTTGAATTCTTAGGCTGTGGTACCCCACTTTTGGCAATTTTGAGGAAATTAAAACATTTTTGGAAAACTGTACCCTGGCAGCATTGTAAATAGCCTTCGGTACATCAAAACAGAGTGAATCCGGAAGATCGCGGGGATTCTCGAGGGATCTTGTAGAATCTGGGATTTGGGGTGCAGCAGTAAGGACAGGCACCACCCTCCCTGCGAGCTCCGCAGTTAGGATCTCTACGGCGCAAGGCGCAAAACCCGCCTTCGGAGGTTGCGTCCGCGACTGTAGGGAAACCCTCCCTAATTAGGTCAACCCTCGGGCGCCTTGACCAAGTTAGGGTCCCGTTGGAAAGAACTCAACGCACTGATTCCAACGAGCCCAAGAACGCTTGGAACGGATGAGGACTTAGGGAGTTATCGCTATTGGAAGAAACGGAGGCGGTCGCCTACGGCGGAAGGAATTCGCCACCGGCGCGAATTCCGCTTACGCGGAAGGGGGATTCAAGTTTTGTCCTATGCGCGGACGAAGGCGTTCGCCTGTGCACAGGCGAAGTAGGGTTAGGGGAGGCGCGAAGTCCGCCTACGCACAGGCGTTCGCCTGTGCACAGGCGCTTCGGCGTCGGCGGGAAATCCGCCTTGGGCCCTAGAAATGCGCCTTGTGAGGTAGAAAGTGTACGGCGCCTTCCGCGCCAGCGCGGCGCCGCGTACGTCGGAAGGGCCGCCAGAGTAATCAAATCGGTACGGACCATGCGGACGGCACGGGTGGATGCGCTCTTGGACGGACGGAGTTGCGGCGGCGGAAGCGCCGACGAAGAGACAAGGAACGGACAGACTGGACGGAGACGGCTGACCACGGTCAACGCCTTCCGCACCAGCGCGACGTAGCGCACGGAATTCGCCTGCGCACAGGCGAACGCCTGTGCACAGGAGGATGAAGTTCCGCACCGGCGGAGAATCCGCCGAGGCTCCTGCCTGCGCACAGGCAGGAGTTGAACTTTTGTCCGACATGCGGACACACGCGTCAAGGCAGAGGGGGATTGGCCGAGGGGCGGTACGAACAAGTGTACCGCGCAAGGCGGAAAACTCGCCTTCGGCGCTACGCCCCCATGTCCGCAGGGTAATACGCTCGCGGAGTTCAAATCCGCCAATTCGAGCGTGAGAGTTTAATCGACGACGGCGGAGCGTGAAGCCGCGCGTGAGAGCGAAGACCGTTCCAGCGTACAGCCGGCGCGGCCATCAAGTGAGACGTTCTTCACGAGCAAGAGCCGACCATGACCTTCGACCGGGCGGCGGAGAACGTCCCATTCTTGAATTCGCGATTCCAATCTCTTGTGCGCGCTGCGCGCATCCATCTGCTGGCTGCGGAACATTCTCGACGTCGTCGCACAGGAGATTTCTTGTTGATTGAGGGAGAAGTGAGTGCGCGTGATTTGGAATTGAGGGCGATTAGAGTTTGCCGAGAGAGAAAGAAACCCGGGCGGTGCGGAAGTAGAATGAGCGGGCGAGCGAACCCCAGGAACGCAATGACGAGACCGAGCAGATTGCGGATGGTGCCACTTCGCCTACCGCAGAACGGGCTGCGCGCTTTTGAGGAGCGCTTAATAGCAAGAAAGCTCGATTTCTTGCTATGGGGATGGAATTACATCTGTGCGAATATGGTGCGCGAGTGGCTAGAGCCACAGGGACCACCCTCGCGCGGATTGCGTCCGCATGTTGACCGGTGGACAGTCCAAGATTGGGCGCAGGCGTTGGGAAGATGTGCTGGCATGCCAGGGCATCTCCTTTTCGACAGTGAGAGCATCAAGGTGACCAAGCAAGAAGAGGCGCAATTTGTGGAGCTGTTCAAGACCGGGAGGTCTACCAAGAATGGGTACAGGACCCGTGATTACAAGGATCGATTTCGCCGGACTTTGTCCGCGGCGCTGATGCAATTACTGCAGCCGCACCGCGCCTGCTACATCACATTGTGGCAGGTCTCTTTTGTGGAGTGCGTCATCGAGGGAACTCCAATTCACTGGGCGAGCATCCTGCACAGGGTGATGCGACAGCACGCGTTTGAGGAGAAGGGGGGAACTCTAAACCATCTTTCTCCTTTCCTCATCAATTTTTATCGACAGCGGAATTGTTTGACAGCGGCGGAGCTTGAACATTTTCCGCCATTGTCCATCGACCATCCCGGGAAGTATGTGCGGGAGAACGAGGTCGACACTGATGCAGAGGAGTCACCGACTTCTACCCCATCAAGACGGAGGGACGAAGGGAGACACACTCCTGCAGCGCGAGTGCCGCGGAAGCGGCGATGGAGGGAAGAGTCTGAAGAGGAGCAGCATCAAGAACCCTCTGCTCCCATTCGACCGCGGCCGCTGTGCGAGCCATACAGCCGGCCGAAGCAGAAGGCACGCAGACTGGTGTTGCCAGCTGACAGTGCAGACACGGCGACAATTGCGACGGAGCAAGGAAGTGCGTCGCCAGAGAGGCAGGAGGAAGCGCGGACGACCGCAGGAGCACCGGGCC